TAACGCTTCAGCCTTACAGCTCACGAAGTCAGATATTCCTTTTAATTTAAACTTGACTGGCTTTAGGTATCTCAGTATCAACATTGCTAAATGTTAAATTCTTTCTTTTCTGCTAATTTCTCACCTTTATTGTCCAAAGATAAAATAGATGGAGAAGTTTACCACCATCTTTAATAGGAAGAATTAACGCAGTTAAAATGAACATTTTGCCAAAATTTCTGTTTTTATTTCCCCGCCTCCCACTTTTCCTACCAAAAAAGTTTTTACCGTAATACAATTAATCAGACTTTCTCTAACTTCTTGTGATGTGGAAAGGCTCCCAGGATCCGCAAATCCATACTCCATAGATGTAAGTTCAATGGTGGACTGTCACTTCCAAATTATTGGGCAGCTCACATTCATAAAATCTCGTTCTGGTTTAAATCTATGAATCTGCCGTGGTGCAACTTGGAAGCACAGTCATGTGGTTCCTCATCCTTATCTTCCCTATCTCATCCAACCTCTCTGGTTTTACAAACAATCAAGTAGTCTTTTCCACACTAAAATTTGGTATCAATTTAGGAGACAAGTTTAAGGCAGTATCCACTTTAAACCCTACACTAAAGAATTATTTATTTCAGCCTTCATTTAAAGATCCAATCTTCCTAACATGGCATAATAAAGCCAAATAAAGACATCTTTTACAAAGATGGTATTTTTCGCAGCTTTGCAAATATCTCAGAAGAGTTTGATCTCCCACCTTCTCATCTTTTCCCATACTTTCAAAGTTAGACATTGTGCTAAAATTTTGTTTCCTCTGTCCCCCCTCTTACCGCCCACTCAACAGTGGGAGGAGCTTTTAAATCATGACCCACTTCAAAAGTCACTTATTTCAAAAATTTATAATGAACTTCTGTCGTTTGACTGCTCGGCTCTGCTTGGAGAATGATTGTTGGGATGCTGCTCTTAAGACAATTTATTCAAGTTCATTCTGCGCCCGTCTTACACTTGCTCAGTTTAAAGTACTGTTTAGAGTCCCTTTTTCTAAAACTCGAGTGTCCCAAATGTATCCCAGCATCACCGACAAATGCAGCAAATGTCATGCCTCCCCCTGCAACAATCCCATATGTTCTATTCTTGTCCACTACTTTCTTGCTTTTGATACCATGGGCCTGTTTCAGAAAGGAGGTTAAGTGAAAACTCTGAGTTTGTTAACCCTGAAATGAGGGAAACTCTGGGTTTTCTGTTTCAGAAAGGGAGGTAAGTTAAACCTGAGAAAGCAGAGTAAGTCAAGCCCGTTTCTGAAAGAGAGGTAACTTATACTCAGAGTCAGTTACCATGGGAATTTACTCTGTGAACCTAACCTGGTCGGGAGCAGGTTTTCTTCAGAAAATCCAGAGTTTATTTTGGTCTCCTCCCCTTTTTTAAAGAGGAAGTGGTGTTTAAACACCTCATTGATTCTTTGGGGACATACAGTATTCATTGCACACATTTCAGTCACGTAGAGCGCATCAAAGGGAATGAAATGGCATGTCCTTTTATGGATGATCCTGTTTGTAAAGCCAGGTAGCTACTCTACTCCCATGATGTGCTCAAGGCTTACCTGCTTGAAGTATGTTTTTATATTTCATTTTCAGCTGCTGCCATGTTCTTTTGATGCCTGCAGGATTGCACCTATCCATGAAAACTAAATTAGGTTTAATAAAATACTGTTCTTCCAGTTTCACCTCTGATATTATAACAGTTGGGTAAGTTACTCTAAAATAGTTCTTAATTACTAACTACAAATTTTATCTTCAACAAGTCTAATTAGATTAATGTAATAATTACTGTCTCTAGAAAGTATTGGTCTACTTACTAATTTGTTTTACTTACTTATTAATTACTTTCTAAATCCCAAATCAACCTCAACCACTTGAACAATACAAGGAGAGACAAGAAACTGCACTTCTAATGCTTTCAAATAAACAATATTCAATTGCATGAATTAATCTTAAATTGACCAAAGTGTGTAACTAGAGGGAGAAAGTTCAAATCAAAATATACCTTTTAAAATTTGATATTAAATCCACTATTGTTTTATAGTCTTTAATTTAATTACAGTATTTATATGACTTAAGTAACTTAATTCATTACACCCAACACTGTATAAACGTAATTAAAATGTAAGCTTACGCATTGACTCGAGCAGCTATTTTCACCCAAGCTAACTCTCTCTCCTTCGCCGCTGCAGCCGTGTTGCTTTTTTTTTTTAAATACATGTTCAAATTCTGCATATGCTTGCATAAGCACATCCAGTTCTGCTGGTGAGAAATATGCACACCTTTTTTTGTCTGACGCTGTTGCCATGGTGACTCGTAATATCTGTGCTCCATTGATAATGGCTTTTTATAGTTGTGGTGCACGCGCTTAACTCAGAGTCAGTCAATTTAGAGTTGATTGAACTAACTCATTTCAGCTGTTCTGAAACCCAAAACTCAGAGTTTCCAATCTCAGGATAAGTCAACTCAGAGTTCAAGTTTTAACTCAGAGTTGGTTGAACTTCCTTATTGAAGCAGGCCCCAGGTCTTTTCTGATTTACCCCTCCCTCCCCGTTTTTTATTTTATTTATTTTTTTTATTTATTTATTTTTCTATCTTCTCTTTTGATTGATTTATTGAGTGGCTTTATTTATACTAATTATAGCTTAATTAGTTCCTCAGCTATTTAGCTGTAACAATTATATTATTTTGCTCTATAATTGTTATTTTTCTAATTTTTTATTATTTCAGTTGTGTGGTGTAGGCCTACTGTTCGTACCATTTGTTGATGGGTTGTAGACCTTCTACTGCCCTGTCCAGCTCTCCTGGAGTAACTGCCTGTCTACCTGCCAACCTCTGTAGGATCCAGCGAGCGCCTCATGCTAACAGTAGTGACAGTGACCCTCGCCAAATGCAAAACTGGTAAAAAAAAAAAAAAAAAAAAAGAGTCAGAAAAGATGAGGAGGGGGAAAAATGTCAGCGGCCTTCACCTGTAAAACCATTCCTGTTTTGATGGTCGTCTCGTTGTTGCCCCTCTAGAGCACCTGTTGTTAATTTCATTAACACCAAAGCAGCTGAAACTGATGAACAACAACCTCTGCTACTTACCTGACCAAATCAATATCCCAGAAGTTTAATGAACTTGATGCTATACACTGATTAAAAAGTGTTCCTTTAATGAGAAGTGTATATAGCTATAGATTCTGTATACATTTCTAATTGCACCATCAACACCAAGTCAAATTCCTTGTAAGTGTAAATCTTATTCTGAGGCAAGAAACTGACAGAACTGAAATTAGACCCACTCTGGACCTGCTTAGAAGAACCTACAAAGTTCAAGCTGTTAAAAACTGGACATTTAGCAGAAAGGGTGGATGGTGATGTTTTTCACGCTCAAATTGAACAATCATTCAGTCTTTTTGACACACTTTTAAAACAAAATGAGGAGTTAATGTAAAGCTAACAGATCCAGGAACACTGAACTGAAACAAGGTGGTGGCAGTATCATGTTGAGGGTCTGGTATGCCCCCAGTGACCCAATGGATAAAATGACCTTTAGATTGAAGTGCCTAGATGTTTAATCCTTGGATAGTGTCTCAACAGAATGATTTTCAAAATAATATATTTTTTAATGATCAGTACTGGAGTTCTTCTTGATGTTGAATTCCACAACATCCTGATCAAGATTAAGTTTGGCCTCCCTGTCTGTCCGCATCAGGTGACCTGCTCCGAGAGGTTTGCTAAATTAGCTTCAAGAGGTTAAAGATGGGGAAAAAAAGCTTCACAGAAAGCAGCTGAAACGCCAGATGTCCCAGAAAACGGTGGGTGATTATCAGAAGCAGGACATCCTCATTAACTGGAACCACGCTAATGTTAGCTTAGCACTCCAACAAACCACTGGATATCGATCTTTCTTATCCTGTTTGACCTCCTGCTAGAGAAGAATTTTTTACTGATGTCCTGCAAAAAAATCTAGATGTATACATATAGAAGAGACTGAGATTATGTGGATGCCATTAAGTAAGTTTCCATAAAATATTTTAATACTGATTGCAATTTAACTTCACTTTAAATCAGAAACTTAAAAAGGAATCCACTGAACATTGTTTCCAAGTTTGAAGACGTTTCTCTTCCCATCCAGGAAGCTTCTTTTAATTCAAAAGTCAGAAATAGTGTTGATTCCAAGGCTTTTTACATTAGCCCAACAAAGTCTTGTTTTTCTTTAGAAAACATGCAAATTGAAACGGACAAACGGGTCTGCCCCTTTGGAACGGGAATTGTTTGGCTTTGTTAGTCTGCAAAGTAGCCATTCCAAATTTCCCCACTTTCCTTGATGGGCCCCTGACTGGTCCCCTACAATTCTTTTTTAAACATCTAAAATATTCTCTCTGTCATGATTTGCGGACATTAAGATCTAAAGAGAAGTGTTAGCTCCTGGTTAGACCCTGTAATTCAGTTAAAGGGGGAAGTCAGAGTAAATAAGGGGAGAAGGCCAGTGGCTGGAAGTTGGAGGGGATTTTGCTGCCATTTGGTTGGCTTTTGACTGGGAAGGGCCATTTTGAATGGCTGCTACTGTAGGAGCTGAGGGGGGGAGCAATAGGAGGAGAGCTGAGTCATGGCAGCGTGGAGCTACAGAGATTCAGAGGGGCACTGAATCATCTGGAGCCTTATTGAGCATTTCCTCCATTTGATGTCATTATCGCCCCGGTGATCATCACCCTCATCATCAGGGCTGTCCCTGACATCCCATATTACAGGCATGGGAGAGATAAAGGAGCCGGACAGGAGGGGCACAATAAACAAGGGCACACCAATGGATTCAACGGAAATAAAGATGGAGGATTTAATCCGTTTTAGTTTTGAGGCAGAAACTAAAACCATTCAATGTTTTTTTTTTGTTTCAAAATAAAGTTAAAGCACAAGGAAAGAACAATTGGCTCATGTTCCTTCTTTGGTCCAGAGTCTGTGGGTCATCCTCAACATCAGTTCACGACACAAAGAAACCATGAGAGCCTTTTTTATTATTATTTTTAAGTCATTTCTGTTTTTATTAGAAATGGAACACATTTCAACCCAAGCGCTTCGAGGAACAAGGTGCATCCAAAGCGGGATTCCAGATGTCCATTGCTGAATGCCGGATAAATGTTTCCTTCTCTCTTTTTGAACGGGGCTCGTTATTAAAGTCCTTATTCTGTGCAACTGATATTCACAGGTATTTACATTCAAATTAGTTTGCCTTAAATCAAGTTTCGTAGCAAAACAGAAAGCAACAAAATAACTAAAAAGTTAGAAAAAAAAACTTCAATTAAACAATATACTTCTTTAAAACAGAATAACATGAGAGAAATTGTGATTGCTTTACTTTGAACTGTAGGCACGTCATAAATAGGTGAGGCGTTTCTTCTTCTCCCCTCACTGCAGCTGATGTTTGTGTAAACAAAACCACCGAGCCGTCCTGCAGCCCTTTTTCTTTTAGGGGAAGGAAACTTAAAAAGAAATCGAAAGCGAATCAAGGAGGAAAAGAAACTAAAGGGTGTGTCAAGGCGTCCACTGCTCCAGCCAATCACAGGCGCACTTTCTGGGATGATTTATGGCTCACAATGATAAGGTTCTTTGGCATAAAACTACAGCTCAGGTTTAGTTTTTTGTTTAACCAACAGTTGAATAAATTCACAAATGCAGCTAAATGAGCATGGCAGCGTTAATAAGGTGCCAGGTTAGTGATGCTAAATGTCAGATTACATGGTACCTGTGTTGGGCAGGATCTGGTGCTGTACATACGTGCTTTTACAGACTCCTGCTTCATCTCTTCAGCATCAATGGGTGGGCGGAAGACAGTTCTTTGAAGCCTTTGTTTTGCAGGTTTTTGGCAGTTTTCTTTCCAATTGTGATCAAAAAAAGTTGGGTTTGAATCAACGATGTGGATCAAATATAAAAACAATAAGAGAACAGTGTCTCTGTGACGGATCCATGGAGAACCGGATGCATGCAGAGGTTTTTAAACAAATGGATCCCTAATTCCAATTAGCATGGTTTTCATTTAGGTTTCATTTTTTTTATAACTGCACTTTAAAGTATCTATAATCAATGTTTAATAATTTGCTCTATGTTTAATTAATCAATTTAACATAATTCAAGACTTTACAAATTTTAAATTGCATTATTTAGTTTCTCCCAAAGACAATCTGGGAATCAGGCGCAAACATTGTTAGCAACCTGTTAGGTTTTCTTTTTTGTTTTTGTTTTTTTTTAACTTGTGATTAAGCAAGTGAAAACTCACTTAAGGGGAAAACCAAGAAACTTTAGCTTAGCACCCTGCACCAGAGTCATAAGTCTTATATTAGATTAAATTAGATTAGATCAGATTAGGTCCAGTCCGATCATCTTTTTCTGTAATTAAAGCTGATTAAGGATTACAAGACAAAGAGTAAGAAATGTCAAAAATGGGCAAATGAGATGAAACTAAGCCAGTTGTAAACTCTGTGGTGACTAATTGGACTCCAATGTCCTGGACATTATTTTTAGGATGCTCTACGGGTCTGCTGAGACATGGAAGTTGCCAAGGTGACCCGTTTTCACCGTGATCAATTTATAATCTAGAGTGGCTGCTGTTCTGAGAAACAGGAGAGGGAGAAAAGGAAAGGAAATTACAGAACGTACTTCCTCTTGAAGGATGCTAATTTGGCACACTTCATGTCATTTAGGAGAGCATCAGTTAAAAAATAAAAATAAACCAACCCCACAAACTGCCCTACATCTGTGAAAGCACATGCTGATAAACGATTCCTCTAAGGCAAACAGGATTGTAAAGAATAGTGGAAAGTGCTCCGTGAGTGTCCTCTCCTCCGCTCATATCTGCAGCGCTGCAGTTTCTCGTCCCGCTGGATGGAGAGGGAGGTTCTCCTCCAGGAAGCCAGTCGGGACGCGTCCCCTGCAGGATGCTCGCCGTCTTCTTTTTCCTTCAGAGAAGCCTCTCATTGGGCCATGTTGAGTAGCCTAGTGGATTTATTGGGGTAGTTGATGGCCAGGCTGATGGCAGCAATGTTTTTCAGAGCCTGAATGATAAAGAAAAAAAATGCATCAGTGAGTATAACTCCAGAGTTTCTTCACAAACGACAGGGATGTTACATCTGAACAATGCCACTGAGCTGGGCTTGGCTCTTTAAACCAGCTCGGTCCCATCAAAATGAAGAGGCTGTCCTTCCTTGTAAAGGTCTGCGGAGTTCTTGCCTAAACAGAACAGTTGCAACTTGTTTAGAACGGTTAAACCCGGGGATACGCAGTAGGATTTTTTCAATCTTTGCACGCAGCTACAGCTGCTACAGCTCACGATGTATGTTCTCACACTGTGCGACCCGACGCTCTGATGCGATCTACCTGCTTATGCTGTATGTGTAAAAACCACGTGGGACTCCGCTCCGCAGTGAGATGGCGCTACTCAGAATCGTCTATCTGTAAGCCAAACGAGTTGAAGAGGAATATGAAGCTCACTAGAGTGAAAAGCGCTGCCTTGGCAATTTGTGCAACTTTGTGCTAAAAGCCCTTAAAAGAAAAGGCGATGACTTATTTAGACAAAGACACGGCTGAGCAAAAGTTGCTACTACGGTAGGTCAATTTTACAGAAAGAACTCCATCTCAATCGCACCCCCGCCATGCTTCTGTGTTTACATCTGAGAGAAAGAAGAAGAAGAGTCCTTGTTTGCCCTCTGAGCGATTTGCCCACGGCCACCTCAGGACGGCCGACTGATTTTTGAACGTGTTTGATTTTTCTCCCGACCTCACGATTCCTGATCGGGAGGTGGTCATGAGAGCCTGATCGCCCCTCGTTATCCCCTGTAAACTAGACTACGCACCAGAGTGAAAGCCGGCCTGAATGAAAAATTCTCGCACGATTGGAGAATCGTTCCTGATTGGGAGGTGGAAGAAAAACTATTTAAGCTCCAAATGTTGGATCTCATCGATCCACAGGACTTCTAGAACTCTGTTCTCTGGACAAGTGGCATTAAAGTGAACCCGTATGGGGAGCTGGTGTTAGACACAGAGGTGGAGCCATGGTGATGTGGGATTATTTTCCAACCAGGCAACCTTTGCCCCTTTTAGTCACTAAATAGGTCATAAACTCTGAGTTTAAGTCTATTTCAAGGCGGAAGCTTTATGGAGTGAATTTTGTTCTATTTTTTTTGGAAGCAAAGAAAACTTTTCTTAAGTCAAAATATATAAAAGCACGAGTGAAGCATGTAAAATTTATGCAATCCAAAAATAAAACTTAAAGAAATTGTTGCCAATCTTTTTTTTTTTTTCAAATTGATTTTGTCATTTTAATCTTTAAAATATTTCTTTTTTTATTACAGATTATAGATCTAAATTTTTTTTTAACTTTTATATTAACTTGTTTTAAATGTTGTTAACAGATTTTACTTTTTTTATATATTCTAAACGCATCTTCTTCTGATTGTTCCATGAATTGTATTCTTTTCAAATTGTGTTTTAAATTCTATATTCTCTACTCTTTAAGCCCAATCCAAACACTCGCTCTTGACCAATTCCATGTTCTGCTAACGTCCAGCAGACGGACAGAAATGCGCTTTTGCTCCTCGCTCCAGAGGAAATCCTGCCAAGTTTTAAAATGTGATCTTAAGAACAGCAATTCAATTGAGTTGAAAATATGAAATCGGTAGAAAAAAATATTTGAAAATGAAGTTTAAAAACCATAAAATTTCAAAGTATAAAATCTGTAAAAAAAAGAAAAAAAGAAAGAAAATCTGATAAAACAACAAAGCTACTTTAAAGACCTTTTTTAAAAATAAAATTGTTTTTGAGGATGTCATTTCAGCATTTTTTTATTTTTATTTTAATGTACAAAAAAGTCTGTTTGGTGCAAAAATAATGGAAGAAAGTTCACTCCATAAAGCCAGGACCACATCAGGGACAGAGGACAGAGATCTGAAACAAAGCCACCGAATCTTCAACAGAGAAAATAAAGTATGAGGCAAACGGGCCGCCATCCGAACCAGGAACAGGTTAGAATGGCTGGGTGAGACTTACAGGCAGAAACCATGTTTTAATGAAGAATCAGACTTGATGAAGTCAGACAGAAAAGGCTAATATGGAGTCTTAGTGATAAGGTCGGTTCTACAGGTTCATTCATTGAGAGATTTTTAGTTTTTTGTCTCGTATTGTTTATACAGCTTATCTTTCCCCTTCCTTCACTCATTCTGTCTCCTTGAACCCCAGTCGGCCTTGGCAGATGGCCGCTCACACCGAGTCTGCCTCTGCTGGAGGTTTCTTCCTGTTAAAAGGGAGTTTTTCCTCTCCACTCTCGCTACAAGCATGCTTAGTGTGAGGGATTGTCTTCGAGTCAATGAGTCGATGCAATCAGCTGGTTTTCCTTAAATAGAAAACTTTGAATCAATTGACTGAATGATCTGCCTTGAGACGACATGTGTTGTGAATTGGCGTTATAGAAATAAACTGAATTGAATTCAATAGTTTTGATATTAAACTGACCAACTTTAAGAATCTATGAACGACTTTTAACCACAAATAAGAAACTGTATTTATTTCAGACTGAGGTTTTCAGTTTTCTAATCATTTTTAAGTAGCCTTCTAAAGACAACAACTAAACACCAAAACAGAAAGTGGTGAAATTTTAAACTTCAGGCTATTTCTCTAAAAAAAGAAAAAAAAAATTCAGGCGTGCCGAGTTACTCGCGGTTTTTGTTTTTCCACCTGACAGGTGTTAGGTAACTGCTCAGCAGAACCACCCACAGTGTTTTTTTGTTTTGTTTTTCTCTGAGCCGCCTTTAGGGCCCACCTGTGCGTTCCAGCGCCGTTGGTACGGAGGACGCTGGGGCTCGCTGTGCCTCTAAATGCTAATGGACTGTAATTATCAAATACATTAGCTCTGAGCACAGCCCACACACTTAAAAAAAAAAAAAAACAAGAGGAAGGGGGTGCCGAGGGAACCTGCTGGGTGTCAGCAGCTCTCTGAGTCTCCTTAAGCAAGCTGACTCACAGCGACTGAGGACCATTCAATAAGGAGAGTGCGTGGTTGAAAGACAGATACATAACACTTCAGGGAGCGGGGCAGCTTCTGACAGCTACCTTCCTCCACCCAGGGAACCACTTGACAGCAGAGATTGTGGTTCATGACCTGAGAAACTCTGGGGAAGGAGGGATTTCAGAAGGACTTCGGAGCAGCCCCTAAATGTTGCTCTAAACAGGAGAAATGGTTTTACCATTGTAGTGTGGCTGAGGAGCTGCTCATCAGTGGTCATGGCCAGCAGGTATTCCTGGAGGATTCCTTGATTCTGGGAAATAAAGACAAGTTTGGTTGGAAAATCTGCAGCACAAAAAAGAAAACAAACAAACAAACAAACAGCAGGAGGCTGACAGCTTTCAACAGAACAATTGTCATGGTAGGTTAACTGTCCTCACTAAATCGCTCTATCTGTCCAGGAACCCCCCCAGCCGCTGACAGCTGGAGAAAAGCAGCAGCGGCTCTGAAGAAAATAACCAGGGACTAGAAGAAAAAGGATTTTTTTTTTCCAAAAGGACACAGAAAAAAATTCTTTTATAATCACACAATAAGTAAATAGACGCAGAGCCAACCACCATAAAGTGGTCCACCTAAGCCTGTAGGCATCGGTCAGACAAGTCTGGACGTCCATGTTAACTCTGGAGGAGCTGCAGGGACCCACAGCTCAGGTGGTGGAATAAACTCAATAAAATGATCTAAAGAAGATCATCAAAAAGGAAAAAAACCTTCAGAATTCAAACTGCTGAAAGTGCTTTAAATATGAAATTATTACACACTGGTCAAAAAACGATAAGCGTTTTTAATTAAGAGTAATTTTCATGTGAATGTGCTTTACTGGAGGCGTCCATGTTTATCAAAGAACACTACTGCCACCTACT